AAGCCACAATCTATTCTAAATAACTTTATTTCAGCTAGAAAGTACAATCTCTCTGGGCTTTCATAGTTTAAAAAGCTACAGTCACACCATGTTGTTAACTATGTGGAAAACAGTGCTATAAATATAACTGCCTGGCTCAGACCATCCATACTTCTGCATAGTCCTTATGGAATCTGCACAAAGAAGCATCTTCTCCCTTTGCTCCAATTAATTGTTCTTGTATGTAAGTTGCTTTCTCTTTTAGTATATCCAGAGTGTTGAAACAACAAGGCCAACCACGTAGCCAAAGGTCACTCCAAGCCTACAAGAGATGGGCCATCCCTGAGGGGAACATGTATAAGATCAAAAAAGAACAAAAGTTTTATTACACTTGAGCCAGAAGTTAAGTGTAACCTAAATATTTCTATATTAAAGCTTGATGTGCTTTCTTTAAGAATACCAGAAGTGTAATAAAGTCATAATTGCACTTATTATGAAAACTGAAAATATATACATTTTAGTTAATGTGCATTAAATACCTGTAACAGGAGTTCTGACAAAAAAATAAAATAAAATAATTACTAAGACATTTCTTTTTGTTTCACCTTATGTTAATTGGTAATAATCCTGCCAATAACCATAAGAAGTACCCTTAATAACTCGTTGGCTGAGTACTGATCTGCACCTACATGGGGTTAAACTCCATAAGGAAAGAACCATCAGAAATTAGTAGCCTACACAACAGAATGGGAATAATTCACAGTCCTGCCAGCCAGAATGGAGAAACCTCCTAATAATGTGGGGCATCAGGGGGAATTATCAGGAGAATCATATCTTAGTAGTGGAGTTTATTGAGTCCTAAAGTCTTCCTGCATCTGCTCTAACACAACTTAAAAGCAAACCTGGAAGGGGTCAAACTGATCTCAAGTAACTACATGCCAGAAAAACATCCAATACTCTTTAAAGGAATACAAAAAATCTAGTACTAACGAAAGTAAACTTCATATGTATTAGTTTTCTGGGGCTGTCCTATCAAATTACCACAAACATGGTGTGGCTTAAAACAACAGAAATGTATTCTTTCACTGTTCTGGAGGGCAGAATTCTGAAATCAAGTTAAGCAAGTAGGAAGCAGAGGGAAGGGGGTGGGATCCAGATGCTTCATTGGCTGCAGGCCGGCACAAAGAAGTTCCCCGACAATTACGGAGCCAGCAGAAGCAGCAGAAGCCGTGTTGGAGGAGAAAGTGCTCAAGTGTATGACTTATTCAGCACAGCTTGTTGAATGACTTGGGGTCATTATGAATATTGATTTTTGGATTGCATCACAGATAACATTGCAAGGAACATCTGCTGCTGCTGAGCAGTACAGTGGTTAATGTTCCTTCGGTACGGTGGTTTCAAGAACCACTGAGAATTCTAGAGAGACAACTGTAATAATGAAAAATCTCTCAGAAGATAATGCAAAAAGAAATTCCCCTAAATGTCTTATAACAGCCTGGCAGACTCTGCTTAAACCAAGAAATAGTATCTGGCAAGCACTGCTATGAAGACCGAAAACTATGTCAAAAAAAAAAAAAAGCTTGCCAGTGGCACTTCCACCATGAATGATTGTGCCCAAGCAACTCGGCAAGCTTTGAGAAAAGGAAGGAACCCTGTTTCAAATATGTGAATAGTGGTCAAATGTGACCAAGTGGATTTTGTGGAACATTTTATTTCCCAGACCTACAATTACCAACATGGGCACATGGGCACATATTTTTAAACTTACGTCTAAAAAGAAAGATTACTGAAAGATTTCATAACCGCCCTGTCAGCTCAAGATCTGGATCATAGTACTGAGGATGTTCTGTCATACCCACGTGCCAGACCACCATGTGCACAGAAGGGTACATTACTTCTCAAGAGAATGGTCAAAACAGATTTTCTGTGACAAAACCTACCAGAATAAGGGGAAAATAGAAATGGTATTAATTCAAAACAAACCTCTGCATGGGACTGTGTCTTCCAACACTTGGGGAATAAAGCTCCCAATGGAGCTTTACTTTATCCTAAAATAGCGAGATGACAATGAAATCTAATTGGAGACAGGGAAGACGTGACTTATGCAAAATCCACTACCAAAATAAAACAAGCAGAGTTTACTGTGTGTACTGTGATGCTCAGAAGAGAGTAATGGTCTTCAAATGATGAGAACATTTTGATAAAAACACACACTGGAATACCAGCAGATTCTCATGAGCCGTGTGGATTTTGTCACGTGTCTTCAGTATGATGAGAGAATGGTCACAGCTCCACTGCCGCCAACCTGTGGGCTGTTGGCACGTGAAACACGCTGACTCCTCATTGTGAAGCTGTTTTGTGCCTAAATGTCAGTAATGGTGTGATGGTGACAAAGCAAGACTGCTTTGGGGGGTGTAGTCTCCCTCCTAAGGATGGTAGTTGTGGAGTTTGGTGTCAAGGACATTATTTCTACGTCAGGAGATAGCATTATGAGAGTGTAGAACACAGTACTGTAAGCCAGGAAGGACCTAAGATGGATGCAAATGAGGCATTGTCCATTTGCAGTAGCGTAAGAGGCTGGTAACACGTGATTCACCTGACACCATCAGGTTGTGAGGCTGTATTATGTATTGGTCTGACAGGTCTGCTGTAACAAAATACCACAGACCGGGTGACTTAAACAACAGAAGTTTATTTGCTCACAGTTCTGGAGGCTGGAAGTCCAAGATCAAGTATCCGGCCAGGTTGGTTCCTTCTGAGGCCTCCCTCCTTGCCATGCAGACAGTCACCTTCTCGCTGTGTCCTCAAGCGGCCTTTTTCTCTGTGCACGTATGCTCCTGGTATCTCTTCCTCTTTTTATAGGAACACCAGGATGAAGAACAGTGGGAACAAATCCCCACGCAGGTTCTCGGACTGGGTTTCAGGTGTCGGGAAAGGGGCGCAGTGGGGCCTGCAGGTGACCCAGGGGAGCTAATCTTCTCAGCACATCCAGCTGCCCAAGTTCTGCTGTCCAAAAATGTGTCTTATCTTTCATGAGTGATTAGGATCTCCTGTCCCTCCTCCCTTCCTCTCTGCTGCTTCTTTCCCATGTTTGATCCTAGGTAAAGATGGCCTATAAATGTATTTCATTTAAAAAAAAAAAAAAGTGAAAGAAAAAAACCACGAGTTTAAATCCTGATTCTACCACTTAGTAGTTTACTTTAGACAAGTTACTAGATTTCTCTGTGTATCAAATTTCTCATTTGTAAAATTGAAATAAGAATTTCTGCCTTCACAGGATTGTCACAAAGGTTGAGTAAGATAACTCACATAAGCAACTAGCAAGGGACCCAGAACATGGCAGGCGCTCAGAACATTTTTATTGGCTTTCCTGTTCTGTGATAGTGCCATGCAGGAGAATACAGGAGAAGAGGTTTGGAGAAGGAAGAATGCAGGGGAAAAGTTAAAAGTTCCACTTTTACATAAGTGAGTTGGCATCAGTATACTGAGAGTTACAAAAGATTTGTAAATTTTAAACAGCGTCCTGCATAGCACGTTGTAAACTAGGGGCTGTGCTAAGCAATGCAATAAGAATTGTATTTTTACCACTTAAATTAAATTATCATTACTGCCCTTATATTGTATAGTGACAGCAGTTAATTCCAGATTTATCCATTAAAGTCTTCTGGTTAATGTGTTAATAAAGATTTTAAATTAATTTCAAGGCACCACAAAGAGTTTTGAGAACTGTTATGGAATTCCTTGCTTCCCGTTGCCCATATTCTGAGTCTGAACCTTTCAGCGTGTGTGATCTGGTGCCTACTGACTCTTGAAGCCTCAGCTTCTCCCACCTTCTATCTAGACTCTCTAATGCCAGGCTCCCACTATATTGAGCTATTTGGGATTTCTCTTCCCTGGACTCTCATACATGGGGTGCAGTCTGCCTGAGACACACTTTCCATCTCTTCAGCTGGCTATTTCCTGATTATCCTTCATTCACCTGCAAGGCCTAAGCAAGGTACCCCTTCTAGAAATTATCCTGTTTATCACTGTATGTTCAGTCCCTAACACAGTACCAGGTACATTAGGATTTCAGTAAATACTTAAGTGAATAAATCAGTACTCAGCCTAAATGCAGAGGACTGCAATGATAATTTTCCATTACGTACGTAGTTGTATAACCTGTAAAATTTCAAATTCCATTTACATAGGAAAACAAGTAGATGTAGTTTATTCTTTAGTGTATGTATTATGTCCTACTTTATACACTGCACGTCTAAAGTGGGTTGAGGCCTGCTTCCTTCTTGTAACTGCTGTAAGGGATTTGTAGATTCCTGCACAGGCATTCATTTTGAGTTTGGTTTTTCAGAAGAAAAAATACATATAGTGACTACTGTAACAAAACAGAGAAAGGATTCTCATAGAAGGGTTTTTCCTCTTAAGTTTGTATAAGCTTATAAAGGTATTTTTAAAGTAGGGGAAGATTTAGATTAGTCATATAAAATACCCCCAAAATGGTATTTGTATAGAAATACATCTCAAAAAGAGACATTAACAATAAACCCAAGTGATCACAATGAAATTATGTAAACCGGTTGTTCCATTGAATTTTTCCTTTTTGTAAAAGTGTCGACGTTCTGGAGAAGTTGTTTTTTTTTTTTTTTTTTCAGATGTGTCTGCTTAGCACAGGGAATGGGACCAAAGGTAGAATGAAACAATTTTAAGAAAGTGAATGATGTGTGAGCTTTTTTTTATTTGCCTCAGAAGTAATTTACTTTAAAAAAAATTAACATCTGCTATTTTGAAGCTAATCTTAGTGTATTGAATGATCTTAACCATTTCTCAATCCCACAGTCTTTTATCTTGCTTCTCCTGCTGTGTTCCCACCACCCCTGATCCCATTAGCAAACCTTGAGACAGCCTCAGACTCACCAAAGTACTGCTTTGGTTTCAGCTGCTCTTCTGCAAGAGGAAGTGAATGTTGGGGGTTTTCTCTGTGGTACAGTTGTGATAAAGCTGTGGTGGTCTTATCTCTCTCTTAGGTAGTGGCCCTTTATGACTACACAGCGAATCGATCAGATGAACTAACCATCCATCGCGGAGACATTATCCGAGTGTTTTTCAAAGATAATGAAGACTGGTGGTATGGCAGCAGAGGAAAGGGACAGGAAGGTTATTTTCCAGCTAATCATGTGGCTAGTGAAAGTAAGTTTTATGCTCCCTTCCTGGTTTACTAATATGGTATAACTGATAGTCCAAGATTTTATCATTTTCTACGCTTTAACTTGCTGTCTTCTTACTTTTGCATACATTTACCGATGGGTATTGCTCTTCATTCTCATGTTGCAAAAGAATAAAAGGGGAGGGGGGCACTAGTACACTCAAAAGCTATTACATTCTGAGATTGGAATATCTACTTCATGGACTTCCCATCCCAGGGGACCTGCCCATCTAGCTACCACCCTCCTTCAGCCCCTTTTCCCCGCCACCTGATGCTCACACACTGACGTCACCTCTCCTCTCGCCGCAGAGACTCCTCAGTTGACAGGCACCTAAGAACCTCTAGCTCCCAACTCCCATTCTTTTTACCTTGTATCCCCAGGCCTAGCTGGTACCTGCTCAAAGAAAACTGCAATAGATTGTTCCATTCTCAAGTAAATTAAGCCCTCATTTGTGAAAGGAAAAAGAAAGGAGCTGGAGAAGAAATTCTAAATCTGAGTTTCTGAAAGCTGCAGATTTGCTTCCAGGCCTTGAGAGGAGAAAACAGAACTAACACAAAGAGTTTGAAAATAAAAGAGTTCAAAGCCTGAAGAAAGGGGAGGAGTATAGCAGTGCTTCTTCAGAGGAACGCTTCGCTTCCCATCAGCCGTTAACTTGGTGTGTGTAGGAGAAGCACGATGCCCAGCGGTCAGGAGAACTGACTGCTAATCCTAGCTTGACAACTAACAGTGATATGCCTCCGTTTCCTCCCATGGAACGAGGGAGCTGAGCTCCATCATCTCTAAGCTTTCTTCCAGAAACACTAAAACTGTCTAGTTCCGATTTAAAAATATAGTAGAAGCAGCCTTGAGAACACGCTACATTTTGAATGTTTATTGTTAAGTCTTTTGTTTCTGCAAAGTAATTATTATAAGTAGTAGTTGGTTTTCAGGCTAGTCTCTGAAACCCCATTCAACCCAAACTATGGTTGAACAAAAATACGATTGATTTCTAACCTAAGTTCTGAACTTTGAAGGGAAAAGAGATGAAGAAAAGGAGAAAGAATTTCTTCCATGAATCCTGGGTGCTGGGCCAGGCCCAGATAAAATTATTTCTCTTGGGCCACCTTCCAGGTCTGCACCCGGCCCTTCCCAGGGCTCCCTCCCCAAGAGCTCTAGCTCTCACTGCAGCTCCTTCCCCAGCTTATCTGCCTCTTTCAGCATACTCCTCCCCTCCAAAGCGCTAAGTGTCTCGAAAATTACCCACTTCTTTCTCTCTCATAACAAAATTCTTAATTTCCTCTGTGCCATGGTTTTATTCTCTGAGCAGTAAATGACTAATAGCTCTTAAACTCTATCTGAGGTATAGTTTTGTGTTTAAAGGAGGATGCAGACTGGAGAAAAGTTAAGGCAGTGTGGAAGGAAGAAATTTGGGGACAGGTTAATTCCCAGTCATCTCCCGTAAACTCAGCACTTCTCACTTGCAGGTCATCTCAGATATCCAGGCTGCTTCCCTCCCCTCCCAGTGACGGCTTCTCTCAGGACCAGCAGCTGGAGTTCTGCAGCAGTAGCTTCTGTTTTTAAATCAAGAGCTGCCTGCACAGTCTTAGTCACTCTGGAGTATATCTGTCATTTTAACTAGATATTACAATCTGTTGTTTCTTTCAGATACAAGCGGAAACTTGACAGTATAAAAAGATTGTGTATTTCCAGGCAACATGGTGTTATGTGCTAACTTTAGAATCTAGTTAGTTTGCAGAAATTACCTCTTAGGCTTGCAAATATTGAGAGGCTATAGATGTTTGATCCACCGGGGATTAAAGATTCAATAAAATTTGGTTTTCTTCCATAAGTACCAAAGTGGGACTTCTGAAGCATACTGCAGTGACCATGGTTGGTGGCCAAGTACAGAAATCAATTCCGTGTCTCAGGCGGTGGCCATCCTTCAGTTGCCGTAACTCCTTACTGTACCCCAGAATAATTGATGGTTTCTTTTGGCATCAGAAAAAGCTTTTGCAAAAGCCAGAACAAACAAAAATTTTTCAGAAAACCTGAGAATACGATCGAATTCTCAGTTCATCAGGGGTTCTTTTCCTCTCCTTTTATCCTACTTTTTTACCTGAATTTAACAAAAACTCACCTTCCCAGTTTTAACATTAGAGAAAAAATGACTGTCAGCAGCATATTCCGCTCTGAAAATAGTAGGAGAAATTGTCCTTTATCTTTATCTGAAGCCAGATATGCAAAGCAAATGATCTAAGGGACTGTGTGTGTGTATATTGTGTACATACTATACATACATACATGATCTCTATCAACTGTTCAGTTGAAAGCCATGTCCTTTAAGAGAATGGCCCAATAGAAGACATTGGTACCCTGTTATCACAAAGGACATTCCCTTTGTATCTTAAGCCACTGGAAAGGAAAACTTGGTCAATTTCCTTAATCACATCTAACATTTCCAGTAAGAGATAAAGAAACCCAATGATAAAGTCCGCCCACACACAAAGCCTATTAATGTAGCTTATAATTTTGATCAGGTGTATTTTATCACTTTCTCTCAATTCAGAGTTGCCCAAGTCATTTAACCAAAACAGATTTCCTTTTTAACCCTTTAAAATTCCCACATAACTTTTTAGATTCAACACCACGTGTAGATTAAGTAGATTATACAGATTATAATCTTATAAGAATCTTAGATCCAACACTGAGTGGATCCTGTGTCATGTATAGTCCCAGGCCTGTGCTTACTTGTTTCATACCATCTTCACAAATTATCCTTTATCCACACCTCCACCTGGCAAAATCCTCCCTATTTTTCAGTCTGACACACCTACCACTTTTTCCGTTAAGCATTTGCTATCCCCACATCAGAACTTGTCTTTGTTATTATCTCTCTTCAGAATAATGTCACAGTCTGTTTTATATTACAGTTAATTGTGAACATATCTGTCTCTGACCAGATTGTAAGCTCCTCGAGAGCAAAGACTGTCTTTGGTCATCTTCGTATCTCCTCCAGCGGTACCTAGCTGATGACCCTGCATATAGCAGGTTCTTGGTAAATGTGTATTAAGATAAAATAAGCATCTGCATGACCACATACATAGTAAGTGAAAATGACACTTTCTGCATTTCTGAAATCCTGCTGATCAAAACTTGCCAGTCATATGTTGTGTTCTTTGGATAAGGAATGTGTAAGACTACAAATCGCCTTAACAATAAGTTCTGGGTAGCTTACTGTTACACCAAGGAAGTGTGAATATCAGTGTGTTTAGTTTCCTGTCTGCCCCCCATTGCTGTTTTGCCCCGTGGAACGGTGCTCCTCGATTTGATTGCATGAATTCTTTGTTCAATTCCAGCACTCTATCGAGAACAGCCTCCAGAGGTAAAGGAGCGATCCCCTCCTTTAACCCCTAAGGAAAAAGCCAAAATGGAAAAAGCTTTTTCAGCTCCACAAAAGGTAAATGTTTGTAAGACGATGTATTCCATGTACTTTGATTTTCACTCTCTCTGGATGAAATATTACTTTATTTTTCATGTTTATATCCTTCATTGTTTACATTATTACTTCTTCTAATATTGGCACCAACATTTTGAAATATATAAGGCAAATATTATTATAGCCATTTTCCAGATAAGGAAACTGAGGAGGCTCAGAGAGATTAAAATAAACCCCAAGTCACAGCCCAAGTGATGGGACAAGAACCCAAAGTAGAACTTGTGACTTTAAGTGTGACGCTATTTCCACTCTCCACGTTTCTGTAACTGTGATACTGACACTGTCTTCAGCCCCACCTGAAGGGTCCACATTTATGCTAACAATGACTGGGGCTCATAGACTAAAGATGTCCTATCTTCCTGGATCATTCCTCTTACTTGCTAGGAATTTTAAATGCTTTCAGGTTAAAATAAATACAGATCTGTTATTAGCCAGAGAAATGTCATGTTTTTTTACCCTGTGCCATCAGCTCCCTCAAGGATATCAGGCAGAATTCTGATGTTGGTAGTGCTTTGGTAGAACAGTTTATAAGCACTGTACCACCATATATATTACCTTATTTAACTTATTTTATTATGTGACATTAGCTCTTGCCTTAGACTGAATAACTTCAGTTCTATTTGACTCCATAAACCAGCAGGCATTTATTTATTTATTTATTTATTTATTTATTTATTTATATTATTTGTTTATTTATTTATTTATAACAAATACCATGTCGTTATAGAGTTTTTTGACAGTTGAACCAGTCATGTATCATCCTGCCATTCATTCTGTGTTTGCTGAGTGCTTACTTCCATGCTAAGCACACTATTAGTCCTCACTGAAACAAGACTGAGTAGTCAGTGCACCTGCCCTTGAGTAGCCTACAGGCTGGTAGGTGAGACTCCTACAAGCAGGTGATTCCAGCAGACTATGGTAGGAACTGTCATGAAGATCTGTGCATGATGCTTTGGACACACACAGGAAGAAACACTCTAAATCTTCTCCGGGGAGTCCAGGAAGAGTTCCCAGAGGAGGTCAGGCTTGAGCTGAGGCTTATAGGATGAAAAAGTATGTGTTAGGTAGATGATCATAGGAAAAAACATTCTAGCAAAGGGAATAAGTTGAGTAAGGTGTGGTATAGTGTGGTTGTGTTTGGGGAGCATGGGGTCTGATGGAAAGAAGGATAAGAGAAATACAGGAGCCAGGCCTAGTGTGCTCTGCTCGGATGCTTAGACTGTAGCCTTCAGAGAGAGGGGATCCCCGGAGAAGGTAGCCCGGGGAGTGACATGTACAGATTTACAGGATGAAAATACCATTCTAGTGGTAGCACAGTGGTTGAATTAGAGGTAGCTGAGACCTGGGGCAGGGAAATTGGTTAGGAATCCATTGAAATAAAATGCAAAAGCCTGAACTAGTGCAGATGTGGAGGATAGGGGTCATAAGGTAAAACTGACAGGATTTTGTGATTGATTGGATGCGATTAGTGAAGTTGGAATCTAGGCTTGTGCTAAGGGCCCTGACTTTATTATACAACTGCCTGGATATGGTACCACAGAAATAACAAAAGAACAAGGAAGATTTGGGGAGATAGAGACAGGGAATGGTGGGAGTAGGATGTCATGAGTTGTTTTAGATATCTTGATTTGTTAGTGGTGTCTGTAGGGCTCCCAGGTAGAAACATTCACTAGGGGGCCAGAAATTCAGGATTGGAATTTGAGAGAACATAGGGCTTCAGAATACAATGGGAGGAGTTAATGTATCCATTGTATTATATCTGGAAAGTTGAAGCTTGTAATGAAGGAGATAGCACAGGAGAAAGAGTTCTGAGAGGAGGCGGCCAAGGACAGATTCCAGTGGAACACTTACTGGTATTCAATATCTAAGGGTCAGATGAAGGGAAGAAGATTAAGAAAGAGTAATCAGGGCTTCCCTGGTGGCGCAGTGGTTGGGAGTCCGCCTGCCGATGCAGGGGACACAGGTTCGTGCCCCGGTCCGGGAAGATCCCACATGCCGCGGAGCGGCTGGGCCCGTGAGCCATGGCCGCTGAGCCTGCGCGTCCAGAGCCTGTGCTCCACAACGGGAGAGGCCACAACAGTGAGAGGCCCGCGTACCGCAAAAAAAAAAAAAAAAAAAAAAAAAAAAAAAAAAAGAAAGAGTAATCAAGGCGGAAGGAAAGAAGTGGCCTGGAAGCCAGGGGAAAATAGAGGTTCAAGGAGGGTACAGACAGGAGTGTCAGAAACAGGCAGTTAGTTAGGGTCTCAGCATGTGGACATCAGGAGGATCCTGACACCTTTGCGCTAGAGTCATGGATTCATACTAGTAGGAGGATCGAAGAGTAGAATGGGCCTCAGCAAGTGAACTCGTGGAAGTCATTCCCAGAGCCTCTTCACTTGAAGGAAAAAAAAAAAAGTCAAGCAGTGGCTGGAGGGAGACCTGGTTCCAGGAATGACTTTTTAAATATTGGAATGATGTAAAATGATACCCTAAGGAGTCAAAGCCGGTAGGACAGGTTTAGGTTGAAGGTAGATAAAGAAAGCACACATGGATCTTAGAGAAAGCAGGAGCTTTTTATTGGGAAGACAGGTTGATAGATTAGTCTTGGCTTAGAGCAGTGGTTCTCCACTGGGGGTGATTTTGTCGCGCAGGAGACATTTGACAATGCCTGGAGAAATTTTTGCAGATATCTGCAAGGAGAGGGGTACTACTGGCATCTAATGGGTAGAGGTCACAGATGTTGCTAAACGTCCTAGAATGCCCAGGACAGCCCCCTCAGTGAAGGATTGGATTGTCTGGCTGTGCTGAGCATAGAGCATCACCCCCCCCTCCACCGAGACAGGTAAATGTGGAAGAGGATGCAGGTAAGTTGATAGCGTGGAAGTCTCGAAATTGAGGATATCTTCATGTTCTCCAAAACTGAAAGGAGGGTCCGCTTCAAATGTGAGGGTCGCAGGAGTGAGATAGGAACAAGAGTAGTGACTGTTAGAAAACCTGTAAGGACAGCAGGAGCAGGGGCTCATGTGGGACATATAAGGAGATTCCTGAGTAGTTCTGGGAGCTGCTATTTGGATGCCATAAAAATCCAGGTGACGTCATTCTGGATTGACTGTGCAGTTGGGTTTTTTCTCAGTAGCGCTTAGCATCTGGGGCCTAGCAGTGGAGAAGGCAGATTTAGTCGGACGCATAACTGGAGCTGTTGTGGGGGGGTGATGGGGAAGAAGAGGATAAGAGGCTCAGTGACACTGGTCAGACAAGGCACTGGAGTGACACACCATGGAGGGTCACCCGGACCAGAAAGGACCTGCAATCGGGAGAAGACGGGCAGACTTAGAAAGCAGGGTTCTCTGCAAGCTTGCAGCAAGCCACCCACGCCCAAGTGGCAGCAGGCAAGTGTCAAACAGGAAAGCAGTTAACAAACTGGAGCTACGGCCTGTAAAGCCAGATAAAGCTAGACGGGCTTCAGCTCCTTAAGTCATACCATTAACTTAAACCTAATTTTTTGGAGAAGAGGAGCCATGGTTACCTTCCCATCTGTGAGAAGATACCGATGTACTGTGCAGATCAAGCAGGCAGGAACTCATTAAAGGACTTCGTAAGCCAACTTTTCACGACGGTGTGAACTGCTGCAGTGGGGGCTCGCCCGTAATTCCAGGTTTTTCTCCCACTAGCTGAAAATAAAGTGGTTTATTTGCTTGGTTCCAAAAAAAAAAAATTCTGTAAAGCCAGAAATTCTTTCACTTATTTAATATTACATATCAGATGTCAAACAACCCAAAGTTATGGTAAATCCACAGAGTTGTGTATAAGACCTGGGGTGAAATCAAAGGACGTGTTATTAGAATTGAGCTGGTCAAGGAATTAGGACCCAGACTATCAGGCAGGTTGTTCTCTTGGATATTAAAATTCGAGGATGGTTGCAAGAGTTGGGATGAAGAGGACACAGGTGAACCAGGAGCTGAAGTTCTTAATTCTTGTATTAGAGCAGATGTGTCAACCTTGGCTTCACATTGAAGTCACATGAGAAATTTTTTAAAATAAATAAATAAATGCCTGTCTCCACACCCACAAATTGATTTAAGTGGGTTGGAATGGGACCTTGGTATGGGTAGATTGCAAAAGCTTTCCAGGTGATTGTAATGTACAGCCAGCATTGAGAACCATTGTGTTAGAGTGACCACAAGGTCCAAAGGTAACAACTGCAAAGATAAATAGAGGGTGTTATAGCCAATGTCAAGGCACCCAAGGAGGAGCGCTCTTTAAGTGTAATAGCCTAAAATCAGCAGCAGAGAGCTAAGAGGAGGCCAGTATTAATTCCAGCCCCCGTGGTTCACAGTTGGGTTATGTGTGAATGAACAGCTTACGCTGCAAAGAACTGAAGCAAAAACAGTTCTTGGTAAAACTCCAGTTCCAAATCCAGCAAGGATTTATGGTGATGGTTGCCTGTAACAGTATGGGACTACAAGAGATACAGTTGAAAGGACTGGCATGAAATGTGGCTGTGGGCAAATGTTGCATGTATATTAGTATCCATTGTTTGGAATTCACCAGATTTAAGAACTTAGGAAGTTGCTAATATAAATTTAACCTAAAGACATATAATGCAATGAAGGCATTTATAACATCGGCATAGAGTCGTTGTGACAGCTAACAAGATTTGTAGTCTATGTCAGGAACTGTGTGAGATGCTACGAAAGACACAACCTTTACTTGTAGTGGCTTACTGGCTTACTGGTATTCCCAACTCTGCATCATGCTGACCTTTGAAATTAGGGTTACCTACCCCCCACCTTTGTATGTTCCTGTCCAACAGCCTTGAGCTCATTCTGCCTCAGCCAGAGGAGATATAAGGAACTCTGTCAGTGTCTTTCTGGCTGCCTCTTCCTGACACGCCTGTGTTCCTATGGATGGAAACCTCTTACCTGCTTCTAAGACTCCCCCGTTCTCACTGCCTGTGCCACTGCTCTACTTAGCAGAACTCG